CCTGCCCGGGTGCTCGAGCCGCCGCAGCAGAGCCAACTTTGGAAAAAGTTTTTTTTGGAAGACTCGCGCTTTGAGGTGCCCAGCCCTGCGCTTTCTGATTTGGGGGACCTTTCCAGAAAATGTTGCAGAAAAACTAAGCCAGCGGGCAGAGGAAAACGCCTTTAGCCGGCGAGGGAAGACGAGCCACCGACTGCCGCGTTCCTTTTCCTCTTGGAGGTTGGAGTCCCCTGCGCGCCCCCACACGGCTAGACGCCTTGGCTGGTTCGCGACGCAGCCCCCCGGCCGTGGATGCTCGCGCGGGCTCGGGATCCGCCCAGGTAGCGGCCTCGGACCCTGGTCCCGTGCCCAGGTCCTCCCCAGCCCCCCAGCGACGGAGCCGGGGCCGGGGGCGGCGGCGCCCGGGGGCCATGCGGGTGAGCCGCGGCGGCGGCTGCAGCGGCCGGAGCGCCTGATCGCCGCGGACCCGAGCCGAACCCACCCTCCTGCCCAGCCCCCCGCCCTGGCCGCGGGGGCGGCGCGCTCCGTCTACGCGTCCGGGGCCCCGCGGGGCCGGGCCCGGAGTCGGCATGAATCGCTGCTGGGCGCTCTTCCTGTCTCTCTGCTGCTACCTGCGTCTGGTCAGCGCCGAGGTGAGTTGCGACGGCGGCTGGGGCCGGTTCTCAGCATTCATCGTCCCCACCCCCACGCCTGGCCGCCCCCTCCTCTCCCTGCAGTGAACTTTGGACCCTTCCAGCTCAAGAGCCTGGCGCCGGGCGCTGGGTGACCCCGAGGACTGGAAGGCGAGGTCCGGAGGGGCTAGGCTCTAAGGGAAGGGCGCAGCAGTGGCTTTCTTTCCATGGGGGAGAATCTACGTCCCTGAGTCTGTTAGCCTCTAGGGAGGGTGTGTGTGGCCCTGCCCCCTCCCCAGAACCTGAGTGAAAGACCTTTCCCAGCTGGGGGAGACGGGGGTGGGGTGGTGCCAGAGGTGCAGAAGGCAGGGCGTTCTTCCGAACCCACGTTGGCTCCAGCCTGGCCTTAGGTTCTGTCCAGGACCCAGCCTGTCCTGGAGGTGCGAGCTTACACACCGGTGACATCCACGCCGACCTTTTGCGGGGGTTCGGGTCCCACCCTGGCTAACGTTCTGGGTTGGGGTGGGCACTTCGGGCCGCGCAGGGCATGCCTGGCACTCGAACTGTCCAGAAGCAGTTGTGTCTTAGCATAGGGAGAGAGGCAGGGAGACCGACAGGCACGGGTAGGTTTGGGGCACTTGGGCGCGTAGCGTAGGAAGAAGATTGGGGCTCGTAAGGAATCCAGCCCCCGGGGCGGTGTGTGCCTGAGTCCCCGCCATACCTGCGCCCGCGCCCTTCGAGAGGAAGCACCTCTCTCCCCCGCATGTTGGGTGCGGAACGCGCCGCCTGCAGAAGCCGAGCTGCAGGGGAGATGGGGTGTAGAAACGGCTGCGGGAGCGACCGGGTCTCGATCGGTGCCCCCACCCTGCCAGGCGCACGTAGCAGTGAGTTGGCAAGTCCAGCCGGAATCCAGGTGGGAAAGGGGGCGGGGCCGGAGGAGGCGCGAGGTGCAGGGGAGGAGGGCATTGGGGAGGCGGCGAGCCTGGGTCCTGTCCCGCCCCCGCCCCGCCGCGGTCCTCAGCTCGCACCCCGCGGGCTCCCGGGGAGCGCCAGCCTTTTCGGCCTCCAGCGGGGCGCAGCCTAGAGGCGGCGGCGGCG